CCCCAAGCAGCCACAAAGACTGGAGCTGTGCTGATCCAAAGCCAGGATCCAGGAACCTCCTCTACTTCCCCCACATGGGTGCAGGGTCCCAAGGCTTTGGGCCATCCTCAACTGCTTTCTCAGGCCACAGGCAGGGAGCTGGATGGGAAGCAGGGCCACTGGGATCAGAACCGGTGCCCACATGGGATCCCAGTGGATGCAAGGCAAAGGCTTCAGCTGCTAGGCCAATGTGACAGGCCCCCAAAACCATTCTTAAGTAGATATGTAAAACTGCTGTTCAATTTTTTTTTTTAACAAAAGAAGAAAATACAACGTATTGAAGTTGCATGACTCAGCCCAGGCCGTAGAGCTGGGAGGTGGCAGAACTGAGGGTTGAGTTCAGTTTTTTCCTCTAACTACACAGTGCTTACTGCATAGAAAAGCATCTGCATAAATCGCTCTTAGGATTTTAGCCAAATTCCATTGATAAAATCCCAAATGTAGCCAGCTACTCTGATATAATATCTGTCTTTCATGATACTTACAAGTCACAGAGAGACCGCACTATGTTCTTTTGAGTTTAGAAGTTTAGGTGTTGACTCAGATAGCAATAAGAAGCTATTCTTGTCCTCGAATCCAACAATTTAGAACCTGATACTCTGACCAAGAATCTGTTTAAAACATGAAGTCACAAACTCAGCGATCTGGAACCTCATTTCTGAATCATTGGACACAATAAAGATTCAGCCTGCAATTGTCAGCGATTGAATAGGAAACGAAGAAGTCCCTGAAGAGGTCACAATGTTGATGAAATTCTACATGTTGGTAGAGACACAGGAAACAAAACCTACCCTTCCACAGAGCCTCATAACGACCTTTTTAAAGCTAACATTTCTTTGTGCTCCACATTTGCCAGTGTCTACTTGCTGAAAGACACAATCACCATGGGTTTGGCTTCCTTCGTGCTGTTGTAGAATTGGTTGCCCCTGCAAAACCCGCGGGGCTATTGGCCGTGGAGTACATCCTTGGTAGAACTCTGTTCAGCAACTCTACCTACTCAAGTTTCAAAATATGGTTATTATACAAGGAGAGCTGTTCTGTACCAGGCTTTCTCCACAGTGTGTATTTGGCAAAGGTTGTCCAGGAGAGCGATGTGTAACCAGAGCTTGTGAGTCTTGATGAAGTTTGATAAGCAGGTTCCTAGCAACGCCAGCTTGTCCCTGGAGACACCTGGCTGTCAGCCTCAGGATCTTCCCACCCACGTGCATAAAGTGGCTGCCACTGGCCCTGAGGAGCAGCAGCTGTAGTGCCATCGTAAGAGCATGGCACAAGCCTCCTCTTCAATCAAAGGCCAGGTCATTATGTGTAATTCATGTTCTGTATCGCTTTAGTCAACTAGCAAATTTGCTTTGAGACCAAGTTTACTATATGATTTTCCTCATTCAGAGTGAATTGCTTTGCTGGTCCGACCACAGGGGTTAAGAAACACCTTTTCTTTCCTTTACTTCCACTTCGTACAACATGTGAAAAAAGCCCGGCTTTAGGCCAGGCTTGCGTTGTATGTTTCTTCTTGTGTCAGTCTTGCAAAGCTAACTTTTTCAAGAAAATGTTTTACTCCTTCTAAAATTAATCTATTGGCATAAATTTATGGTTGACATTGTCATTTTTTATGATACCAGCAGGAGTTGTTGTGAGGTCATATATTTTCCGTTCATGACATATTTGTTATCTTTTTTAAAAAATGGTCAGATTTACCATTACTTTATTTTGCTAGCATTTTTTTTTTTTTTAGAGAATCAATCTCCAGTTTTGTTGATACTCTCTACTGGCTTTTTATTTTTATTATTGATTTTTGTTCCAATGCTTGCTATTTCCCTTCTTTACTTAATGAGTTTGTGATATTCATTTTTTTTCAAAGATTTATTTATTTTTATTGCAAAGTCAAATATATATATATATATATATATATATATATATATATAAAGGAGGAGAGACAGACAGGAAGATCTTCCATCTGATAATTCACTCCCCAAGTGACCACAATGGCCGGAGCTCTGCCGATCCGAAGCCAGGAGCCAGGAGCTCTCTGGGTCTCCCACATGGGTGCAGGGTTCCAATGCTTTGAGCCATCCTTGACTGCTTTCTCAGGCCACAAGCTGGGAGCTGGATGGGAAGCAGGACCACAGGAACATGAACCAGTGCCCATATAGAATCCTAGCGCGTGCAAGATGAGGACTTTAGCCACTAGGCTACCTGGCCCAACAGGATTGATTTTTCAAATTGTATAGCCATTTATTAAAGTTTCCCAGTCTCTGAAGTATTTAAAAATGTGTCTTAAATACATTTTCTGTGGCCTGGGAAAGCAGTCGAGGATGGCCCAAAGCCTTGGGACCCTGTACTCATGTGGGAGACCTGGAAGAAGCTCCTAGCTCCTGGCTTCAGATTGGCTCAGCTCCAGCTGTTGCGGCCGCTTGGGGAGTAAACCATCTGATGGAAGATCTTTCTCTCTGTCTCTCCTGCTCTCTGTATATCTGCCTTTCCAATAAAAATAAATAATTCTTTTAAAAAATAAATCATTCTTTAAAAAAATTATAAGTACATTGCAGTAAGTGTTTTTGTTTCTCTTTTTTGTAATTTATTTTTAATTCCTTTTCCTAGAATTTTGCTTTCTAATTGCCTAATAATTTGTGACTTATGTGCTGGTCACTATGCATTAAAACATTTAAAAATGTGAGTATAATATCTGTGGGAAAGTGTGCCAGTCTCGTGTGCTTATCCTTGTTTACTGCTTACCCATGTAACCATTGCACAGATCACGTATCTAATTCCCCAAAGACTTCCTTGTGACCCCTGCTGTCCTCCCACCATCCTTCCTGGGCTAATCTTCATTTTATTCATCATCATAAATCGATCTGGGCATTGCATACTAGACATATCTATTGCATTTCTTTTTGGACTGATGCTGGGATATGAAAAATTGCTTTCAGAGGGGATATGATTTACTTAGCCACATGGGGGAAGATCAGTGTGAGATGGCCTAAATCCATGTTCCCATTTTATTTGTATTTTTAAGTCAAAGGCAGACAGAAGGAGAGCGAGGTAGAGATCATGTACTGGTTTAGTCTTCAGACGGCTGCCTTAGCTGGGGTGGGTGAGGCTGAATCTGGGAGTCAGGAAGTGCATCAAGGTCTCCCACAGGCATGGCAGGCACTCACATATTTGATTTATCATCTGCTGCTTCCCAAAAGTATTTGCATGGACCTAGACTGGAAGTAGAGTAGCCAGGACTTGAACTCTGATGTGGAATGCATGCATTGCAAGCAATGACTTTAGCCACAATGCCACAACACCATGGCTGAAGTTCAAATTTTGATATTGTCTAGCCCATTCGAAATATGTACACCCAAACTCTAAGTTTGTTGGGAGTCTGGGTGACCTTTGGTACGTAATTAATCAGAGAAGCCATCTGGGCAGTCCCTGCCTTCTGACTTACCTGCCTATAGATCAACCACAGTGCAGTACACACTTACGGCCTTTGGTCTACCCTGGTAAATGCTCTTTGGACCAAGCAACTGTGAAATATGGGTTTGTCTCCTCGTGTTCTGCCCTTTCTTAGACATTATCCCAGGAATTCAGGACTGTTTCCTTCTAATATACTTACTAAAATATTTTTAATTTTCTGTTTAGTTTTTAAAATTATTTTTACTAGGAGGCAATTACATGAAATTTGCAATACATATATATTTTTAGCTGTATGAATACTTTTCAAATGAAATTTCGGGCAGATTCATGATATAAAGATACCTTAGAAGAAGAAAATGATGGTTAAATGTATGCAGGCATCAGTGGGTTTATGTATCTTTTCTAAGAGTCATTTTCTTTCTTGTGTCAAGAAGTGTTTATTTGAATCTTAGGTGTTCTACTTCTGTTTTGTACCCATGTACCCACATCTTTCCATCTTTGAAGTCTATTGTTTTTAAAAGATTTATTTTATTACAAAGTCAGATATACAGAGAGGAGGAGAGATAGAGAGGAAGATCTTCCATCCGATGATTCACTCTCCAAGTGAGCTCAACGGCTGGTGCTGCACCGATCCAAAGCCAGGAGCCTCTTCCAGAAACATCCTTCCGGGTCTCCCACACAGGTGCAGGGTTCCAAGGCTTTGGGCTGTCCTTGACTGCTTTCCCAGGCCACAAACAGGGAGCTGAATGTGAAGTGGAGCTGCCGGGATTAGAACCAGTGCCCATGTGGGATCCCGGCACGTTCCAAGCGAGGACATTAGCTGCTAGGCCACGCCACTGGGCTCCATCTTTAAAGTCTTAACTAGGATCTCAGAGAGGTCCTGACATATAAAAATATGGTGAAAATTGCCAAAGGGAATCATAAATTTTATATTTCATCTAGGTTATCTAAAGAATGAATACTTTGGTGACAATGTTCAGTATTGATTTTTCTTGTACATGCAGGACCAGTGTCTGATTCTCCCTACCTATTGTGACATGTAGTCTTACTCCCAGTCACTTGGAATGTCATGGTCTAAATCTCACTTTGTCCTCATTGCCATCGGAGAGATGGATTTACATTCATCCTCAGCCTGGTTACCCTTCCATGCTATCAGTAAATAATTATTTTTTCCATTAGTTTGGAAAACTGGTTATGAACTGTTAGTATATCTTAGCTCCATGTCCCCTCCCACCAAGGTTCTGCTGTAAAATAACTGACAAATAAGAATTTTTTAAAAGGTGGCATGTTGATCCGTTGAAGTTTCCTGCCTCAGAGACAAGGGATGGTGGTGAGTAACAGAGATGCAAGGATTCAAACCTTGAATCAGTGCAGTTAATGGCCAGCATCTATTTCCAATGGTGTGCAAGTGGAGAGTAGACTTAGTAGACATTCCTGCTCTGTGAAGTGGGCGTGTTTTAGATTCTTTACTTTGTGAGTTGAGTCAGATCCAGGTGGATGTGTAGAAATCATCAACAATCCATTAGAATATAATTTATTCATGTTTTTCTTTCTCCCAGGCCATTTAGAGAGATGGAAAATGTTGGTTTACTTCTCTCTTAAGTGAAGATGAAAAAGTTTTAAAAATGCAAAACAAACATCTGTAATGCAGTTTCTAAAATGATGATTTGGAGTTTTGCAAACAGAACAAGTCTTTGCATGGATTCGAGAACTTGGCCATGGATTCAAAGACGGGGGGTAAGCTGATGTATCTCCAATTAACTCCTAGACATGTGAGGCAATGTTTCCCAATCTGATCTTTTTAATGCTTAGTCCTCACTAGCAAAGGAATTATTATTCAAGTTTTTCTTTCAAAGTCTATGTTGTGAAAGCAGTTTTTCATTTGGCAAATATGTTATTGTATTATAATATGAATATGTGGGGGGTTTGGATTTTTTGTTTGTTTTCAAAATACTATTGCTTCTCCCTCCCTTTAGGGCCCCTATTGGCTCTTACCCTCTGCTTTAGATCATTGAACAGTGCAATTCAAACCACCCTTCTTATGGTACTATGAATCCATAACTAGTTCCAACAAAGAATCTCAGGGTAATTTTCACAGGAAATTCAATCATGTAATGCAAAACACGGTAAGAGAAGGCTTGGTATTTTCTTAAAAATATAATGCAGTCAATGACTCAGGTTTCTTGATAAATGCTTTTTAAATCAATCACTCTATGGGACAGGCATCTGGCATGGCGGGTGAAACTGGTTGAATACCCACATTCCATATGTGAGTGCCTGTGGTTGATCCTGGCTCTGCTCCTGACACGGGCTTCCTGCTACTGTGAACCTGGGAGGCAAGGAGTGATGCCTCAAGTCCTTGGTTCCTGCCACCCACTCATGGCTGGTTTAGGAGCTCCTGTCTCCTGACTTCAACTTGAGCCAACTTTCAGCCATTGTGGACATTTGCAGATTGAAATAGTAGGTAGATTTTTTTTTACCTATTTCTTTTTCAAATAAACAAGTAAAATTTTTAAATTATTTTAAAATCTCAGGAGTCTCATAATTAAATTGTGGAAATAAATAGAAAAATTCTAACTCTAAGATGAATCCCCATGTTTGGGGACATGTGAAAGTCATGATTATTAATATAGTTATGACATTTTTTAGAAAAGTTTTCCACCATTATTTCTTAAGATTTATTTATTTGAAAGAAAGAAAGAGAGGGAGGGAGGATCAGCAGGAGGGAGGAAAACGGAGAAAGAGGGAATAAAACAGAGATCTTCCATTTGCTGGCTCATTTCTCCAATGGCTTCAACAGCAAGAACTGGACTGATCCAACGGCAGGAGCCAGGAGCTTCTTTTGGGTCTCCCATGTGGTTGGCAGGAACCCAAGCACTTGGGCCATATTTTGCTGTTTTGCATTAACAGGAAACCGGAGCAGAAATGGAGCAGCTAGGACTCAAACTGATGCTCATCTGGGATACTGGTGTGAGCTACAGGTAGTGGTTTCACCTGCTAAATCACAGTGCCAGCCCCAAGTTATGACTTTTGAGTCAACAGAATATTTCATTTATCTCTCCATAGCTTTAGAAAGAGGCTGTAATCTTTGTGTCATGTCTAGCGGCCAGAAGAAATCATTGACAAAGGAGGGGAAAGTGTTCAACAAAGTACATTTTTTTCCATGTCAAGGATATCAAACCCTAGAATTCTTCTTTACATTCCTCATTGCCTAATATAGTGCTGGGTGTGGAGGTGATAATTAGTAAAAATATTTAAGCCAACAATTGGGACTTCCTGTGCAGACACACAATTTTGAGGGCTAGTCTCATTTAGTTGGGGATGATGGTGCTGGGGAAGGAAGATGTTGGGTAAGGGAGCAGAACTACAGAGGAAAGAGGAATCGGAACAGCCTTGGTCTCAAATGCTATCTCTGCTGCTACTGTGACCTTGGAGAAATTACTGAAATCCTTGCCTCAATCTTTTTATTAAAAAGAGAATTATACCTTGCAGTTTTATTATTTACAAGGACTAGAAGCAGTATGGGTAAAGTCCTTGGCACACATCTGTTTCTTATTAAGTGGTAGCTACTGTTACTTTTGGTAGTAGAACAACAACAATATTCATTTCAGAAAAATTTTATTTGGAAAAAGCTTTCTTGAGTTGATTCCCTTCTGGATCCCTGTAGCAGGATCTGGCTTTCCCCCAAGATTCTGAAACATGCGGTCTTGGTGTGAACTCTGCACCCAGTCCCTTTTCTGTAATCCCTGTAGACCCCAAGTTATGTTGACCCCAAACTTCCTTAGTCATAGGGGAATTAATGGGACATTTGGCTAAAAAACTCCAAATGGAGATCTTCCAAGGACAGAACATTCTGGAACCCATGGTGTTTTATATCTTCTCACAGTGGCTGGGGTCAAAGCAGAACTAGAGGAAGAATTCTGAGACCCAGATTCCCCAAAAGTGAAGAGGTTTTCTTTCATTGTCTAAGTCATGCACTGGTGTCCGATTTAGGTTTCTTTTCGCATACTTGCTCATCTGATTAGCAGGGAAGTTAATTTGAAAAACGAAACAGCTTTCAACCAGTAAAAAAAGTAGTACTTAAAAAAATGTATTTTAACCGTTTTAACACTAGTCTTCTGATAGTCTGTGCACTAATTTTGGGCATGACAGCTCAAGTGAAAATGGTGGTTCTGTTTTAAATTTGGTTATCTTGTTTGTGAACACAATTCTTAAAATGTTGAGTGGCACATAGTAGGTAAACTATTTTCTGTTAAATTCCCTGGAGGCTCAGTGGAATGTTTTCCTGAATTATTTTGGTTAGAGGGCAAGCCTTTTCTTTGATTCATCTTGGGACCAGCAGAACTTATTTAATATAGTGGTAGATATCCAAAGATGAAGCTTCACTGTTGATTTAGTGGAAGAGCAACCTAATGAAAGCCCATTGTGAGGGGGTAAAGAGAACATAACCACCCCAAAGGGGGCGTCCTCCTTGGCCTCAGCTTTCTCCCTAATTGGCTGTCAACCTAGACAAACCCTTACTGTTTCTTGCGCAGGCCTTTCTCACTGTGAGTTGGAGCAGGCTTGTTCTGCTGGCCTCACAAGACAGTACAGGGTGTCAGGGCAATAATGAATGTGTTTTGTATGCCAGAATACTTGATATAAATAATGGCAGAAAAGCAACACAAAATGCTTTGATTTCTAATGTTCTGACTGCAGATCCCTCCTAATTTAGGAAACTAATGAATACTCTCCCTTGTATTGTATAATGATATAAATAATTATAATATTAGTAAGGGTTATTATTTATTGGACAATTGTACACGCCAGATTCTGTGCTGGACAGATTGCCCTATTTTTAATCTTCATAGCAACCATCAGGCATTGAGATGATGATGATGATGATGATATTTATTTCAGAGATGAGAAAACAGAGGCTCAAGTCTTAGCTATCATTTGATCTTACTGAATGCAAAAGTCACGTTTTGTTCATTGCCAAACTACTACATCACAATGGACTCCCAGTTAAACAGTTGAAGATATCCTGACAATAGGATGCTGAATATTTCAACATTGTCTATGCCCATAATATGGAGAAACACTTCAATAGCAGAATGATGAACTTATAACCGTTTATGAAGGACCACCCATTGTAATACTAAAGGGGAAATAAATGGGGGGGGGGAGTAAACTTGGGGAGGGGAACAGAAATCCTAGAGTCTATGGAACTACATCATAAAACAAAAAAAAAAAAGGAAAAGGAATAAAAATTAGGATAGATTTTAAATGTTTTGCCATAAAGAAACATTAAATGTTGAAAAAGTTACATATAGTTACACTGACTAATATTGTGACATATTGTGAAATGTCCAAGTATTGACAATAGAACCTAAAATAAATAGTTTTTAAAAAGTCTAAAGTCTCAGCTACCTCAAAAGACACTGACAAGAGGAGACCCAAACCCTCTAGTTCCCAGACAGCTCCCTCTACCTGTTGTGCCAGTTCTCTAGGAGTCAGCTCCCACAGTCCTAGGGATTTCACATGTCCTTTGACAACACTGCTGGCTCAGACCATCAACTGTGATGGGCGGATTGACACCCTAGAGATGGGCCAATGCTAACATCAGGGCTCTACTGCCACCATCCTGTTGCTATGCTTTTCTAGTACATCACTGTTCTAATATTTGTAATCTTGCACTTTTTGCTATAGACTTTAGTGAAATATTCTACTAACCTCCATCCAATATTGATGGTTTACTAGGACTTTGGCTCTGAATCAATCTCAAATCAGAAAATACACCTTGTAAGAATTTTGTCCAGAAACCTCATTGACTGCTCATCTGTCTGCAAAACATCAAAACCCATCACAAGTGTTGCCTTCTTTGAATCTGACTGACTCCTTCACTCTGAATCCATCACTATCTTCTGAGCAATGCCAGACAGCTAGTGCACAAATGTACTCAGCTCACTACTCTTTTAAAAAACATCTATACAATACTCACACTGTGACACTATCTGCTTTGGCTGTACTCATTACTAAGCCCACGTAATCACGAAATTAGGAAGTTACTATGATTATCCCCACTTTATAAGTGGAAAAAGGAGGCACAAAGTTTAAACACTGGACTGTGGTCACAAGGTTTCAAACCCATGTCTTTTGGCTTGGCGTCTACAATGATAAACACTGTGGCTTGTGTACACATCTGTCTCCCCTGTAGTCTGTGAAGGGGAGACAGAGTTTGCCTCTTGATGTTGTGTCTTTTAGAATGAAGTCGTCTTACTCATTTTTGGATCTTTAGGTTCCATGCATGGTACATGTCAAGTACTAAACGCTACACGCTCCAGTCACTGATCTGGGGAATGTTTCTCAGTTATGTCCTGTTTTTGAGAATTCTCACGTGAAAGTGCAGTTAATGAAAGATAAGAACATAGCTTCTATGGAGGAAAGATAACCCCCTTGAGCCTTTCCATTGCTGCTCAAGTGTCTCTGTGGACACCCACTTCACCCTCCCCCCCAACCAATTCTGACAAAACCATTTTGTGTATTGCTGGGTTCAACGAAGGACCTTAGTTCCCTAGATTCTGTTTAGAAATTTGGGCCTCAGTATCAGCTGCTGTTAGTGCTGTTACATTCAGTGTTGGAGCTGTTATTTAGGAAAGGAGAAAGAACGGTTGAGAACAGAGTGGGTGAGTCACAAAATAACTAAGAGAGCATCACTTCAAGAGTAACTGGTTACTGTCTATTTCAGGAAATACCTT